CTCAAAAGTCATACATGTCAGTTGGACTGGATGCTCTAGATTATCTGCAGGTGTGACTAAATGGATGTATGTCCACCTTATGTATTGTCTGTGTGAGCTCTGACAGACAACCTGCACATCGTGGTTCCCTGCCTCCTGTCTGATGCATAATAAAGTTGGATTAAGGGAGTAGTAAACATTTGAATCCCCAAATCTATGCACAGAAACATATAAACATTTTTACACAGTTATTTGTAAAAACAAACAAAACAAAACCTGTCTTAAACTGAACAATTGCACCAACCTTCATAGATAAGGGAAATAATGCTTATACAGCAGCAATAACCTGTACTGTTCTTTAACATAACAAAAGCATAAAGGCCTGTAAAATAAGCATGCTCCCCAAATTTGCAATCTGTATGATAATTTGAACCAATGTGATGGTGGGTGTAGAATAAAGTATCTAGTTAATGATATGTTTTCAGTCATTTCGTCTCATTTATCCAGCTCAGTTGTTGCCTTTTCTTTTCCAGCACACAAGCATTTTCTTTTGCCACTTAGTTTTTGCTTTTATTTCACCTTTAAAATGACTATGGAATCCATATTCAGTCATTTATGTTCTTATAACTTTACACAGAGTGCATGGTGTCACTCACCTGTGCCTCTGCAGAGTTTAATTATGGTCCCAACTTGTAGGCAGCTCCACTGTCTGTGTGTAGGAGACTGAAAAAGAAGAAAAAAGGTTGGACATGAAAAATTCCATTTGTACACTGGGTCCACTCTTATGTTTTAACAGAAAAAATTAAAAGCAATAAAAAAAAAACCACAAACACATTACTACTTTATGAAACCAACCAATCAACTCTAAAACGTTCAGTTCAGTTTGATGTTTAGTCTCCACTGAAGTTAAACTAAGAGTTAAACATCATCATGCATCTGAGAATGCATCAAAAGCAAAAGTCGTTTGCACTCCCCGTACAAACTGGATACCCCGGCTCTCTGGGTATTAACAAACACACACACCCATACATGTCTTTATGCCTTTGTGTGGCCCACGTTCTGTGACTTCTTTGTGAGGGCCACCACTTCTACTATAGCTACAATGGTGCAAAACACAAATCTATCATGAGGTGGCAATAGAGAATCAAAATGTCAGTTCACAATTCAGAAAACACAAAATAAAAAAAATCTATATCTTCTACACATGTGAGGACCGGAGCCTGTTGCCAAGCAGATTTGGTGAACTGGACCTTCTGTCACAAAGCACCAAAACAATGCATGTTATATCACCAGATTTCAGCAGATCTTTCATAACTGTCCCATCTTACTTTCCTGGTTAAACCAAACCACAGCATTACAGAGATGGAAGCATGTGGTTTTT